GGTGGTTTCATTGGTGGTTTCAGATGGTTTCAGGTGGTTTCAGGTGATTCCAACTTTTAGTACTTACGGCGTTTTCAAACTTTGTGCATTTGTTAGCCGTCATTTGCTAAACAACAATGTGAAATCACTAAAATTTGCGTCGTCTGTGAAGCTAAACCGCGGCGGCAAGTTATTTTAATTTACATTTGGAACTCAACGCTACTTTTATGCGTTATGTTGAGTTTGAGGTCTAGCGCCCTATGAGACGGTAAACACATCCAGCCATTTTCGAAATTCTAACTAAAAGTAGAAACTCATTTTTTGATCGACGTTTTCCATGGCGTTGGCGTCCTGACTGCTTAAAGTCCCTATTGCCATGATGTCATTAAAACTTGCTCGCACCAGTTTCTCAGCGTTGGCAGAGCGAGAGCGGCCGCAAAGCTTTCTAAAAAAATTTCTTTTGAAGACCAGGGAAAACCATTGTGGGTGATTAGGGTATGTAAGCTTCTTCCGCTAAATGCTAAATCCCGCCACATGAATGCGGTGATTCTTTTCCGTTAGTTGCATATCTTCATCTTATGGTAAGAGTGGCTAAAAATTTCACAGCTATCTCCTCCTAGAGTCTTAACTTGTCGGCGAAGTTGCCATCACGAAATTCACTCGTTCGTTACACAACACTGGCGTTATTATGGAAGTGGACGTTCGATTACTAGTTTTTACAATTCTTTCGGCGTTAATAAGAGCTCACGAAGGAGGCCCGCGAGGTATGTAGAGTTCTTCTTTCTTTCCCTTCAATCTCTGTACTTTGTAAATCGTTTGTAGTTCACTATGTATGTTTTGAAGATGTTTTCAGCAAATTTCCACGCGAGCATTAATTATTTTGGTAGCTGCGTCCAGTAATATTACTTCACCAGATTTCACGTGCTTGTTCAATATTTGTATTAGCCAAACCTAATTAATAACCTTGCTTTCTTCCATGCATCCAGTGAATGTTATCTTGCAATTTTGGTGGCAAATTAAAGAATTCCTTCGTATGAAAAACTAATATTCGATGCAGTCAAGACTGATCGAAAAGTTGAAACATTTTAACAAACAAAATCGCTTGTAACTATAAGCTTAATTATCATATTGCTTTGATTTATCATTTGATTATCTGACTCCAAGTTTTCTAGGGTTCTTTTGGTAACACTCAATGATCATTTTACCATTTCGTCTAGTTTTATGATTAGATTAGTGGGTAATTCCTGGTGAAATATGTGGTGGGGTCTTAAAGATGAGTGCGCAATCGTTGCTCTGAACCTTGCTGCTTTGTTATACATGTTTTTCTTAAAGTTCTGGAACCATATTGTCTATATTATAGTTTTGAAATCCTCGAGATTATATCTGTACAAGCTGATTTATCCTTAACGTTACAGTACTGCAGTATACACACTGTTTAGCAGTAAAAGGTTGTCACCTGTTATGGTCAACAACACAACTTTTTGGGAGGTTTTTTTTCACAACAGCTTTGCTGAATTTATTTTATTAGTGAAAGCACCATTGATTTTTTTAATTAGTATTTTCAATAACCATTCTGAAGTAAACAATTACACTCTCTAGTTGTCCTTAGAACCATTCAGATAACCACACAATGTCATCCTTTGTTTTATTCAGTTGTTCAAATTCTTGTATTTTTTTTCATTCAGTTATTCACCTTCATTCCCTTAGTGTTTACCTAAACTGTATGATGAAGTTTTCTTCTTAAGTTGATATTAGGAAGCAGAAGGTACATTGTAAAAGAGGAAAATTATTGAAAATACAATATGAGCACAGGAAATATGGGTAAACCACAAATAGCCTCCTACCCAGATGTTCTTTGGGCTAGTCACACAATCTTCCTCCCCCACGAACTCTGCTGAAAGGAATGAGCACATTCCTTTCCCTTTGTTCAAACAGATCAGATGGAGAGTACGTGGAGATCACCAAAGAGCCAATTGGTGCTTGGTTATTGTTCAATAGAAAGCCAGTCATAAGCTGTGATAGAACAACCCCCAAGAGGGGGTTTAATTTTCTCGCATTTCTTATTACTCATGGAAAACAGATCTCAAAACCTTGCTTCAGAAACTCCGAAAAAAATTGTCAGAAAGAACTGTCTTTTGTGCAGTTTTCTGTTAATCCCACAGGAGAGAATAAGAGTGTTTGGTAAGAGTTCAGTGGATTATGCACACTTAACTAAATGCACTGTGCAAACAGATTTGAGTGTGTTTTCGTCCAACGGCCCGTTCGTCTGCAGTAAGTGCTACAAGTGGTTACTTCGTTTTGAAAAGGTAAAACAAATCTGCAATCCCTTCAGGATGAGGTAAAGGAAGACTTAAAGAAAGTAGCAAATAGAACGAAACGCCTACATCGAAATTCTGCTGAAAAGGACAGGGACATTGAGAACATTGACACGCCATGCCGATCGAACCTACAACAGCTTAACAAGTGCAGCAATGATCTGCAGCGAAATCACTGAAATTTGAACAATCCCCTACCACTTTTACTTCTTCTAACACCGAAAATGATCGAACAACAAGCGAAAGTTATGATATACTCAGTGGAATCACTTGGCTAAATGCCCAGGAAACACTGTCAACAAGAGAAAATTCATCAAGGTTCAAAGTTCACTGCTCTGATTGGGAAGAGCGCCGTGATTGGTCTAATTAAACAACCCATTCATTTCAGCAGACGTTCATGGGGGAGGAAGATTGCTTGATGAGCCCAAAGGACGTCTGTGTAGGAGGCTACAAATCCTCTTGACTGCTACCTCTATTTAGGTTTATCTCTGATTTGCCCAAATGAATGACTGAATCTCCAGAAGAAATTGTATTTAAAAAATAGAGTCCTAGTTGCTGTGCATCTGTTCAATAACAGATCACAGTAGAATGTGTCACTGATGTTCCTCCTGCATTGTGATATCTTTTGTTATCTATTAATGTACAGACCCATGGTAACTTGGAATCTATTGAACACTTTCATAAATGGCTGCTGGATTAATATTCTTTTGTTTAAGATTAAATTAGCCTTTCTGGCCTTGTTCTCCAGTTCAAAATTCAAAAGAATACATTATCTCGAGTGAGGCTAGTGAGGCTAATTTGAATTGAAACAAAAGAATATCAATCCGGCAGCCATTTATGAAAGTGGTGTATTTGTTTTATATAATAAAGGAGCAAAAAAATTGTTAACCCATTAACTCCCAGATGTGATTCACATTTAACTTCTCCCATTTAATACCCATACCCCATACTTTACCCAGCAAACAGGTGATGAGAATGTTCAAACCTTTCAAGTAGTAGGGGTGGATCTAGGGGGAGGGTGCAGGGGGTGTGCA